GCCTGGTCCAGAAGCTTGCCTGGTCCAGGAGCTTGCATGGTCCAGAAACCTGCCTGGTCCAAGAGCTTGCCTGGTCTAGGAGCGTGCCTGGTCCAAGAGCTTGCGTGGTCCAGGAGCTTGCCAGGTCTAGGAGCTTGCCCGGTCCAGGAGCGTGCCTGGTCTAGGAGCGTGCGTGGTCTAGGAGCTTGCCTGGTCCAGAAGCTTGCCTAGTACAAGAGCTTGCCTGGTCAAGGAGCTTGCCTGGTCCAGGAGCTTGCCTGGTCCACGAGCTTGCCTGGTCCAGGAGCTTGCCTGGTCCAAGAGCTTGCGTGGTTCAGGAGCTTGCCTGGTCCAGGAGCTTGCCTGGTCCAGGAGCGTGCCTGGTCCACGAGCTTGCCTGGTCCTGGAGCTTGCCTGGTCCAGGAGCTTGCCTGGTCCAAGAGCTTGCGTGGTCCAAGAGCTTGCGTGGTCCAGGAGCTTGCCTGGTCTAGGAGCGTGCCTGGTCCACGAGCTTGCCTGGTCCAAGAGCTTGCTTGGTCCAGGACCTTGCCTGGTCTAGGAGCTTGCCTGGTCCAGGAGCGTGCCTGGTCCAGGAGCTTGCCTGATCCAGGAGCTTGCCTGGTCCAGGAGCTTGCCTGGTCCAAGATCTTGCCTGGTCCAGGAGCGTGCGTGGTCCACGAGTTTGCCTGGTCCAGGAGCTTGCCTGGTCTAGGAGCTTGCCTGGTCCAGGAGCTTGCCTGGTCCAGGAGCGTGCCTGGTCCAGGAGCTTGCCTGGTCCAGGAGCTTGCCTGGTCCAGGAGCTTTCTTGGTCCAAGAGCTTGCCTAGTCCAGGAGCTTGCCTGGTCCAAGAGCTTGCATGTTCTAGGAGCTTGCCTGGTCCAGGAGCTTGCCTGGTCCAGGAGCTTGCCTTGTCCAAGAGCGTGCCTGGTCCAGGAGTGTGCCTGGTACAGGAGCTTGTTTGGTCTTGAAGCCTGCCTGGTCCTAGAGCTTGCTTGGTCCAGGAGCGTGCCTTGTCCAAGAGCTTGCCTGGTCCAAGAGCTTGCCTATTCTAGGAGCTTGCTTGGTCCAGGAGCTTGCCTGGTCCAGGAGATTGCCTGGTCCAGGAGCTTGCCTGGTCCAGAAGCTTGCCTGGTCCAGGAGCTTGCATGGTCCAGAAACCTGCCTGGTCCAAGAGCTTGCCTGGTCCAGGAGCGTGCCTGGTCCAAGAGCTTGCGTGGTCCAGGAGCTTGCCAGGTCTAGGAGCTTGCCCGGTCAAGGAGCGTGCCTGGTCTAGGAGCGTGCGTGGTCTAGGAGCTTGCCTGGTCCAGAAGCTTGCCTAGTCCACGAGCTTGCCTGGTCCAGGAGCTTGCCTTGTCCAGGAGCTTGCCTGGTCCACGAGCTTGCCTGGTCCAGGAGCTTGCATGGTCCAAGAGCTTGCGTGGTCTAGGAGCTTGCCTGGTCCAGGAGCTTGCCTGGTCCAGGAGCGTGCCTGGTCCACGAGCTTGCCTGGTCCTGGAGCTTGCCTGGTCCAGGAGCTTGCCTGGTGCAAGAGCTTGCGTGGTCGAAGAGCTTGCGTGGTCCAGGAGCTTGCCTGGTCCAGGAGCTTCCCTGGTCTAGGAGCGTGCCTGGTCCACGAGCTTGCCTGGTCCAAGAGCTTGCCTGGTCCAGGACCTTGCCTGGTCTAGGAGCTTGCCTGGTCCAGGAGCGTGCCTGGTCCAGGAGCTTGCCTGATCCAGGAGCTTGCCTGGTCGAGGAGCTTGCCTGGTCCAAGATCTTGCCTGGTCCAGGAGCGTGCATGGTCCACGAGTTTGCCTGGTCCAGGAGCTTGCCTGGTCTAGGAGCTTGCCTGGTCTAGGAGCTTGCCTGGTCCAGGAGCGTGCCTGGTCCAGGAGTTGCCTGGTCCAATAGCTTGACGGGTCCAAGAGCTTGCCTGGTCCAGGAGCGTGCCTGGTCCACGAGCGTGCCTGGTCCAAGAGCTTGCTTGGCCCAAGAGCGTGCCTGGTCCACGAGCGTGCCTGGTCGAAGGGCTTGCCTGGTCCAGGAGCTTGCTTGGTCTAGGAGCTTGCCTGGTGCAGGAGCGTGCCTGGTCCAGGAGCTTGCCTGGTCCACGTGCTTGCGGGGTCTAGGAGCTTGCGTGGTCAGGAGCGTGCCTGGTCCACGAGCCTGCCTGGTCCAAGAGCTTGCCTAGTCCAAGAGCGTGCCTGGTCCACGAGCGTGCCTGGTCCAGGAGCTTGCCTGGTCCAGGAGCTTGCCTGGTCCAGGAGCTTGCATGGTCCGGGAGCTTGCCTTGTTAGGAGCTTGCCTGGTCCAGGAGCTTGCCTGCTCCAGGAGCTTGCCTAGTCCAGGTTCTTGCCAGGTCCAAAAGCGTGCCTGGTCCAGGAGCTTGCCTGGTCCAGGAGCTTGCTTGGTCCAGAAGCCTGCCTGGTCCAAGAGCTTGCCTAGTCGAGGAGCGTGCCTGGTCCAAGAGCTTGCGTGGTCCAGGAGCTTGCATGGTCCAGGAGCTTGCTTGGTCCAGAAGCGTGCCTGGTCCTAGAGCTTGCTTGGTCCAGGAGCGTGCCTGGTCCAAGAGCTTGCGTGGTCTAGGAACTTGCCTCGTCCAGGAGCTTGCCTGGTCCAGGAGCGTGCCTGGTCCACGAGCTTGCCTGGTCCAGGAGCATGCCTAGGCTAGGAGCATGCCTGGTCCACGAGCGTGCCTGGTCCAGGAGCTTGCATGGTCAAGGAGCTTGCCTGATCCAGGAGCTTGCCTGGTCCAAGAGCTTGCCTGGTCCACGAGCGTGCCTGGTCCAAGGGCGTGCCTGGTCCAGGAGCGTGCCTGGTCCACGAGTTTGCGTGGTCCAGGAGCTTGCCTTGTCCAGGAGCTTGCCTGGTCTAGGAGCTTGCCTCGTCTAGGAGCTTTCCCGGTCCAGGAGCTTACCTGGTCCAAGAGCTTGCCTGGTCCAAGAGCTTGCCTGGTCCTGGAGCTTGCCTGGTTCAAGAGCTTGCTTGGTCCAGAAGCTTGCCTGGTCCAAGAGCTTGCCTGGTCCAGGAGCGTCTTTCTACAGTGCTGTGCTGGCACGCCGTCGACCTGCTCTGTTGACAGGTCGTCTTTCCACAGTGCTGGGCAGCTCCTCTACGCAACGCTGGCAGGCGGTCGACCGAGCTGTGCTGGCGGTCGACCAGGCTAGCAGCAGGGTTGCTAGGTGCCTGATGTAGTCATTGTTGTAATTTTTCTTGTTCTATCATGCTGGAATTCCAATTTTGCTAGTGGAAACTCTTGCCAATTTCTTCCGTGAATGTGCAAACACTAAGGAACCAAGCAAAGCTAAGATCACCTCTAGTAGTTCGTGCCAACCCCTGTAGTCTAGCTTACTACCGTTGTAGAGTTAATCTCCGCAGCCGCACCCCTCCACCACTCACTGTAACCACCCACCCTCATTGCACTCTCACCACTTAGTGTCACCTAACTCTTACCATTCTGGCCGCTCAGTCTCACCTCACTCTCACCATTCCAACTTCACCACTCTAACCACTCACCCTCACCACCCTCTATGCTCCCACTCTCACCACACACTCACATTTTAAATCAGAACATTCCAGCTATGCCCATGCATGCAACAGGTGGCATCAGTGCGATTCGGCTAATCATATGCCACCTACCAAGTACGAGCATCATGCTCTCATGCAACAGGTGGCATCAGTGACTTACGGCTTATCATATGCCACCTACCAAGTACGAGCATCATGGTCTCTTGCAACAGGTGGCATCAGTGCCATACGGCTCATCATCTGCCACCTACCAAGCATGAGCATCATGCTCTCATGCAACAGGTGGCATCAGTGCCTTACGGCTTATCATATGCCACCTGCCAAGTACGAGCAGCATCCTCTCATGCAACAGGTGGCATCAGTGCCATACGGCTCATCATATGCCACCTACCAAGTACGAGCATCATGCTCTCACGCAACAGGTGGCATCAGTGACTTACGGTTCAACATATGCCACCTACCAAGTACGAGCATCAGGCTCTCATGCAACAGGTCTTAGTGGGAATATGCGCTTATTGCCTGTATACGCTTATCGTATATACGCTATACGCTGTAGGGACGGGTTTGGAAATACGTTTTTTCAGGCAGAAAAAAAACTTCCCGGGCAGGGTCAAAAAAAGGCGCGCGGGGGGGGGGGGGGGGGGGGTATGGGGGTGGGGTATGGGGCCTGAAGTTTCAGAGATTTTTTTTTTCCACATTACACATATACCACGGCCTACACATAACTACTGTCATCACTACTATCATCACTATCATCACTACTATCATCACTTACCATCATCACTTACCATCACTACTATCATCACTACTCCATCACGACCATCACTTCTCTCTAAGACAAGCTACGTACTACTAGTCCTTAGGACTAGCCGCCCACAGCAAGCCACATTTGCCCCCTCTAGTTAGCGTACTCGTCTTTGAGGATGTCGTCTTCACCTTCCTCCTCATCCTCTCCCTTCGTCTCGTCTTCCAGCCCATTGTATCCCGTCGGGATTGGAGGCTCCGCTCCAATCCCGGGCACCACATGTGGCAAGACATCAACGCGCGTGTGCCAGTTGCGCACAACATTCCAGTTGTGCGCAACATAGACCAAGTCCCTGCACTTGGCGGATCCGAGCTTGTTGCGACGTGCGGTGTATACCATCTCATAACTTAGGCTTAGAAGCGATACATTAGTAATGAGCTTGAAGCTCTTTAAGTATATCCAAGAAGGGGAGGGAATGGATGGGGAAGGGAATCGGGGGCAATCCATAGGGATTGGGGGTAATCCCAAGGCAATCTCCAATTGGTGGGTTGGAGATTGCTTGGAGATTACATTTGGGTTTGGTTGGGATGTAGGTGTACACCCAACCAAACACAATGTGCAAACTACACTACTCTAGGATATAGAAAATACAAAGTACAAAGTGTGAGATTGAAGGATAACACTAACAGACGGCATCCCACGAGGACCATCCACGCTCACAAGGTGAGGCTGACACGGCCTGAGACATCACCCGTACCGCGAGCCCCGCCACTCAAGGGGCATCAGTCCCATTCCACTGCCACCACTTCACCATGCTATACTTTCCCTCTTTCACCAGCTTCCTCTGTGCCACGGCTTCCGGCATCCCAAAAGAACCCTTCATCTCAAGGAACGCCCTCAGCCCGTCCCCCAGCTCAAGCAAGATGTCGCACGCGTCATCCCCCCCATCCCCGCGGCTCGCAAGGAACTCGGCCTGCTGGCTGATGAACGCCTTGAAGACTTTCGTGCACTCGGGATCAGTGCAGAAAATATCTTCCTTATGATTCGCGGGGTTGAGGATGCGGCCAGCGGCATGCATGGCGCATGCGAGGCTGTCATCCCAGCGGTCTTTGAGGATGCGGCGGATCTTGTCCTTGTCCCCGTCGCTCAGCTGCTCCTCGTGCGCATCGAGCAAGCCCCCCACGTCCCCAGTCAACTGCAGCATCAAATCGTACAGCCTCCCCATCATCCCCACGGCATGCCCGTCCGTCTGCCTCATCACCTTAAAGGGCACCTTTAGCAGTGCGACGAAGAACTCGGCCGTCTTCCACCAAGCGGCATCATGGATCAGCGCACTGAACCCGTCACACGATTTCTTCCGGTCCCCTACCGCCCACTCCTTCCAACCCTCGCTCGTCACCATGTTGGTAAGGCTGCCGTGCATCGCACATAGCCGGGATATGGCTATGTAGTTGGTCCCGAATCGGGTTCCAGCCGGCTTCAGCGCCTGCAGAACCTTCCCCTCCACCAATTCCGGCTTCCACAGGTACCCTCGGGTCAAGTGGTGGTTGCGGACGAGGCTAGATATCTCCCCTCCCTTGTCGACCACCGGCTTAGCCCATCCCATCTTCCCGACATCTTCCATGAGAAGATCCAATACGTGAGTGGCGCACGGCACATCCTGAATGTGCGGCCACTCCTGTAAGAGCTGCTTCACCGCCACCGCATAGTTCGACCCCCCGTCCATGCAGAATGCAACAACGTTTTCTGGACCCACTTCCTCCACCACGGGCCTAAGAATCCCCGCCACGTAACCTCCGGTTTTCCTCTCCATGTTGCAGTCAATACAGTCGGTGAAGACGGCGCCGGAATCGTTTACGAGAAGCACGTTGGCCTGCGACCTGCCGTTGCGGTCCGTCATCATGTCAGACGAAACCGTCACGCCCGTCCTCTTCCAGCTCGCCTTAATGCCCACCAGACCCTGCTCGATTCCGTTGCGACACGAGAGAAGGCCAGCACCGCCGATGTATTTCCTCTTGGGAGGGACGTAGTCGACGCCGGTGCACTTGACGAGGTTCAATGCATTGACCATCAGAGGATGGTCAATGTGGCGCTCGGGGACATGGAGGGCGGCCCAAGCAAGCGCAAGTGCCTCGTCCGTTTCTCTCTTTCTTGCAGCCGCATCCCCCTCAAGGTAATCGGTGATGCGCGCACGCTTCACACCATTAGCCTTGACCGCGGCAACCACTTCAGCTGCTGCCCGCCTCTTCTCTTCGGCCGCAACAGCCTTTGCCTCGTATTTCGCACGCATGGCCAAGCGCACATCTTGCGGCACATCCTTGCAAAGCACCACTTCACGGCGTTTCATCCCCTTCCACGACGTGAATTGTTGCGCGCATCGGATGGCAGCACCAGTGTAGACGTTGCTGCAGAACTTGCACTCGTACTGCTGAGCTTTTCCCTCGACCCCCTTGATGATGCGGAAGTGCTTGAAGACGGCATGGTCAACGTCGGGGAGATACTCCCGTGCCTCGGTTAGAAAATTTTGCGAACTGCCAACGGTGTTAGCTGACGGTGGCGTTAGAGGAGAGGTAGTAGTCGTCGACATAGGCACCATGCGCTAGGGAATGCCTAGTGCTCTGCTGGTAGCGAGAGAAGACCTAATGAGTTGGATGTTGGGGGTGTGCTTGTTTCATGGCGAGTTGATTGTGGGAGTGGGAAGATGGCCAACAAAAACTGGAGAGGTGTTGGTTGCGAAGGGTTTGAATGCGGTACTGATAGTGAACACCAAAATGTGAGGGAACGTGCAGACGCGACTCGACGAACGTGACTTTCCATTTGCGACACGAACTTTCAACCCACGTCCACGCTAGCACACAGCGCGGACGTGCCATCTGACTGCGCCAATGTCTTCATCGTGCAATTCCGAAGCGAACCGTATAGGTTGAAATTTTCTGGCCGGGCTGCCCCAAAAAAAATTTGGCGAGCGTATAGCGTATTCGATAGCGTTTAGCGTTTTGCGTATACATGCTAGCGTGCATACGCTAAACGCAAACAGGTTTGAGCGTATATTCCCACTTAGCAACAGGTGGCATCAGTGCCATACGGCTCATCATGTGCCACCTACCAAGTACAAGCATCATGCTCTCATGCAACAGGTGGTCAGTGCCATACGGCTCATCATATGCCACTGCCAACCCCACAGCCTATCACCACCATCACCATCCAGCCCTCCCAGCCCTCCTCAACTTCACTTACCAGCAATAGGAGCAGCAGACAGCCCACTCCCTTGTGGAAACAACACTCTTGGGGGCTGTGCCTTGAAGTCCAGGTGTGGCAGTGGAAGATTGCTTCCAGCCCAAGACTCAAATCCCACCCCTGACGTGGCTAGAGCTGACGCGAACCAGAGCCACCGGCCGGTCGGCTCTGACGGTGTCCATTAAGCCTTGAACGCCACATCGGTTACTTGAGCACCGAGTGCCGTGCCGTGTAGATTCCACCCACCACACCCCGAACCACAAGGCACGACACCAGAGGATGCTGCCCCTAAGGCAGTGAACTGCCCACTTGCTCCTATGCTTCACCCCCATCCTTTCACCCCATGCCTCCTTACCTGTACCTACCACAGCCATGCAGAGCGCCATGATGCCTCAGGCTGCTGGGAAGTGGAGAGTGGAGAAGGGGGTTGGGGGGTCAAAAGAGGAATGCCTCTGTCAGCCTTTGCTCCAGTGCTCCCTCCCTTCAGCAGGCTGTAAAAGGGGTGGGGGGAGGAGGAGAGGGGGGGGGGGGGGGGGGGGGGGGGGAGAGATGAAACGAGAGACGCCCTGTGTCCCGCCCTTGCTCCGGTGGTCCCTCCCTCTCTCATACTGCAAGAGGGGTTGGGGGGAGGGGGAGAAAGAGAGGGGAGGGGATCAGATAACACACCTGCAACCATACCTCACCTGATACCATACCACACCTCGCTCACGACTCGACCTAACCTAGCCTGTCCTCTAGGCCTCCCCCCCCCACCCCGCCCCCGCTGCTGCTGCTGAGGCCGCTTCTGCTGCAACTGCTGCTGCCGGTCTACTACTCAGCTTCCTCTGCTACAGTCTTTACTCGCTGCCAAGTGACCTGGTAGGGGGGAAGGAAGAGGGGAAGAAAAAGCAAGTGAGTTGGCATGACCAGAAAACAAATGGATAAAAAAGAAATTGACAATAACGAGAAGGCAAAAGTGAAGAGCAGAAAAGGAAAAATTGAGGAGCAGAAAGGGAGAACGATGAGGGCAAGAGAGGAGGTGACGTACCTTGAGAGGCCAAGCCCACCCCGATACTCTCCCTTGTGGCAGGGATTGGCAGAGCTGCCTCCCTCCTATCCCCACGGGTACCTGCACGGCCACAGGGGAGGGGCGTGGGGAAGCGTCGGTGTTGACCCCCACCCCTCCCCTCCACCTGCAAGGCACACACGCAGAGCTGGTCAGTGGGCAGCAAGGGGATGAATGGTGAAAGTGCAAGAGAGGGAACGACATTTGCAAGGCGGGAGAGGGGAGGGGCCACTGGTGGAGGCCAAGTCACAAACTGCAGACCCAAGGGCTGCACCTGAGGGGGTACTTGCACACCTGCACCTGACGGGGTACCTGCACCTGAGAGGGTTACCTGAAGTAAAGGGGTTGGCAGCATGTGAGCCGGTCCCAACCAGTGGCGCTGTTTCAAGAGGAAGGTGCGAAAGTGCATGCAAACACGAGATGCAAGCAAAGTACACAAGACATGGCGAGGCAGGCAAGGGGTTGAGGGAACTTAGCTGTAAGGCGTGAGAGCGAGCAGAGGGCACTACAGCAGCACCAGGTGACTCCTTCCCCGGCAGCCCTCCTCCCAGCCTTCCCGTGTGCGTCCCTCCCTGCACGGCCACCGGGGAGAGGCGTGAGGGAATGGCGGTGCTGACCCCACACCCCTCCCCCCACCTGCAAGGCACACACGCAGAGCTGGTGAGTAGGCAGTGAAGGGATGACAGGTGAAACGGCAAGAGCAGCAGAAAAAATGCAAGGAAAATGAGAAAGGAGGGGCCACAGGTTGAGACACAACTGCAAGGCATAGACTTCCAAGGGGACCTGAGGGGCTGTAAGGCTGTAAGGGGGCTGAAACTAAACCTGAACCTGAACCTGAACCTCAATTGAGGTCTGCGGCTTGCGAGTCGAGCCCCAACCAGCGGCGAGTTTTGGAAACAAACAAAGTGGAAGAATAAACGAGAAGCAGAATAGTAGGCAAGGACCAAGGAGGCGAAGCACTTAGCTGAGAGTTGGAGCAGTGGTGGTGGTGGCGTGGGGGGTGCGGTGAAGGAGAGGGGGCAGGGGCGAGCAGAGGAGGTGCGAGCCAGCGAGGAGGGTTGAAGGGAAGGACCTGCGAGGCAGGGCAGGGGGGAGACACAGTGAGTGCGTGGCAGGTGCAAGGGCGCGGCCCTTGCAAATGAAGAGCGAGTGCGAGTGTAGAAATGACGGTGCATGTGACAGCCGGCCACAGCCCCACAAGAGCCCCTACCAACCTGAACCTGAAACTGAACCTGCACCTGAACCTGCACCTGAGGGGAATTGGGGCTGTGGAGGGGTGTGGCGGCGGGGCGATACTTGCAACCTCGACCATTGATGAGGCTTAGCGGTGCTGCCTTGCTGCCCGCCCTCCTGCTGCCCGCCCTGGTGCCCCCCTCGCCTGCTGCCCTCCCCTCGCCTGCTATGCTCCCCTCGCCTGCTGCTCGCCTGCTGCCGTCCCCCTGGCTTGTGAAGGCCTGGCAGGGAAGGGAGAGGAGGGAGGGAAGGGCAGAAAGGAAAGGCAGCCGGAAGTGAGAAGGGTTACAATGGAGAAAAGTGTCAAATACACGTGCAACAGCAGAAACGACAGTGCATGTGACGCCAACCACAACCCCACAAGAGCCGCTACCAACCTGAACCTGCACCTGAACCTGAACTTGAGGGGGAGTGGGCTCGAGTGGAGTGTGGTGGCAGGGGCGATACTGCAACCTCAACCGTTGATGAGGCCGGCGCTGCTGCCCTGCTGCCCGCGCTCCTGCTGCCCGCCCTGGTGCTCCCCTCGGCTGCTGCTTGCTGCTGCTCTCCCCCTGGCTTGTGAAGATCTGGCAGGGAAGGGAGGGGAGGGAGGGGAGGGAGGGGAGGGAGGGCAGGGAGGAAAGGAAAGGCAGCCGGAAGTAAGAGGGGTTGCAATGGAGAAAAGTGTCAAACACACGTGCAACAGCAGAAACAACAGTGCATGTGACGCCAACCACAACCCCACAAGAGCCGCTACCAACCTGAACCTGAACCTGAGGGGGAGTGGGCTCGAGTGGAGAGTGGTGGCAGGGGCGATACTGCAACCTCAACCGTTGATGAGGCCGGCGCTGCTGCCCCGCTGCCCACGCTTCTGCTGCCCGCCCTTGTGCTCCGCTCCCCTCGCCTACTTCCATCCTATTGGCTTGGGCTCGCCTGGCAGGAAAGGGATGGGAGGTCAAGGAGGGGAGGGAGGGGAGGGGAGCACTAAGAGGAACGAGGTGAAGGCAGCGGGGGAGGTGGAAGCGAGAGTGGGATGGGGAAACAGCAGGCAAGGCAAGGAAGGGGCCACTAGAGGAGCACATCCACAAGCCACACACCCCCAGAGGAACCTTAGGGGGCTGTAAAGCAATAGGGGGGCTCAACCTGTACCTGATGGGCTTACCTGCGATTGGGGGTGGGGGTCTGTTGCTTGTGAGGCTTGCCCCAACCAGTGGCGAGTATTTCAAGGGGAAACGGCGAGCAGCAATGGTGAGCAGAAAAATAGCAAGAACAAGGGCCTAGCGAGTGCAAAATAGCAAGAACAAGGGCCTAGCGTGTGCAAAATTGCAAGAACAAGGGCGTAGCGTGTGCAAAAATTGCAAGAACAAGGCCCTAGCGTGTACAAAATAGCAAGAACGAGGGCTTAGCGTGTGCAAAATTGCAAGAACAAGGGCCTAGCGTGTGCAAAATTTCAAAAGGGCCTAGCGTGTGCAAAATTGCAGAAACAAGGGCCTAGCGTGTGCAAAATAGCAAGAATAAGGGCCTAGTGTGCGCAAAATTGCAAGAACAACGGCCTAGCGTGTGCAAAATTGCAAGAACAAGGGCCTAGCGTGCGCCAAATAGCAAGAACAAGGGCCTAGCGAGTGCAAAATTGCAAGAACAAGGGCCTAGGGTGTGCAAAAAAACGAGAACAAGGGCCTAGCGTGTGCAAAATTCCAAGAACAAGAGCCTAGCGAGTGCAAAATAGCAACAACAAGGGCATAACCTATGCAAAAATTCAGGAACAAGGGCCTAGTGTGTGCAAAATTGCAAGAACAAGGGCCTCGCGTGTGCAAAATTGCAAGAACAAGGGCCTGCCGTGTGCAAGAAAGCAAGAACAAGGGCCTAGCGTATGCAAAATTGCAAGAAAAAGGGCCTAGCATGTGCCAAATAGCAAGAACAAGGGCCTAGCGAGTGCAAAATTGCAAGATTTAGGGCCTAGCATATGCAAAAAAATAAGAACAAGGGCCTAGCGTGTGCAAAATTGCAAGAACAAGAGCCTAGCGTGTGCAAAATAGCATAACAAGGCCAAGAAAAAGCAAAATAGCAAAAACAAGGGCCTAGCGTGTGAAAACATTGCAAGAACAAGGGCCTAGCGAGTGCAAAATTGCAAGAACAAGGGCCTAGCAAGTGCAAAATTGCAAGAACAAGGGCCTAGCGTGTGCAAAATTGCAAGAACAAGGGCCTAGCAAGTGCAAAATAGCAAGAACAAGGGCCTAGCGAGTGCAAAATAGCAAGAACAAGGGCCTACCGTGTGCAAAATTGCAAGAACAAGGGCCTAGCGTGTGCAAAATAGCAAGAACAAGGGCCTAGCATGTGCAAAATTGCAAGAACAAGGGCCTAGCGTGTGCAAAATAGCATGAACAAGGGCCTAGCGTGTGCAAAAATTGCAAGAACAAGGGCCTTGTGAGTGAAAAATTGCAAGAACATGGGCCTAGCAAGTGCAAAATTGCAAGAACAAGGGCCTAGCGAGTGCAAAATTTCAAAAACAAGGGCCTAGTGATTGCAAAACTGCAAGAACAAGGGCCTAGCGAGTGCAAAATTGCAAGAACAAGGGCCTGGCGTGTGCAAAATTGCAAGAACAAGGGCCTAATGTATGCAAAATTGCAAGAACAAGGGCCTAGCGTGTGCAAAATAGCAAGAACAAGGGCCTAACGAGTGCAAAATAGCAAGAACAAGGGCCTAGCGTGTGCAAAAATTGCAAAATCAATGGCCTAGCGAGTGCAAAATTTCAAGAACAAGGGCCTAGCAAGTGCAAAATTGCAAGAACAAGGGCCTAGCGAGTGCTAAATTGCAAGAACAAGGGCCTCGCAAGTGCAAAATTGCAAGAACAAGGGCCTGGCGAGTGCAAAATAACAAGAACAAGGGCCTAGCGTGTGCAAAATTGCAAGAACAAGGGCCAAGCGTGTGCAAAATAGCAAGAAAAAGGGCCTAGCGTTTGCAAAATAACAAAACAAGGGCCTAGCATGTGCAAAAATTGCAAGAACAAGGGCCTAGCGAGTGCAAAATTGCAAGAACAAGAGCCTAGCAAGTGCAAAATTGCAAGAAGAAGGGCCTAGCGATCGCAAAATTGCAAGAACAAGGGCCTAGCATGTGCAAAATTGCAAGAACAAGGGCCTAGCAAGTGCAAAATTGCAAGAACAAGGGCCTAGCGAGTGCAAAAATGCAAGAACAAAGACCTAGGGTGTGCAAAATAACAAGAACAAGGGCCTAGCATGTGCAAAATTGCAAGAACAAGAGCCTAGCATGTGCAAAATAACAAGAACAAGGGCCTAGCCAGTGCAAAATAGCTAGAACAAGGGCCTAGCGTGTGAAAAAATTGCGAGAGAAAAGGGCCTAGCGAGTGCAAAATTGCAAGAACAAGGGCCTGGCGTGTGCAAAATTGCAAGAACAAGGGCCTAGCGAGTGCAAAATAGTAAGAACAAGGGCCTAGCGAGTGCAAAATTGCAAGAACAAGGGCCCAGCGAGTGCAAAATTGCAAGATCAAGGTCCTAGCGTCTGCAAAATAGCAAGAACAAGGGCCTAGAGTGTGCAAAATAGCAAGAACAAGGGCCTAGCATGTGCACAAATTGCAAGAACAAGGGCCTAGCGTGTGCAAAATTGCAAGGACAAGGGCCTAGGGAGTGCAAAATTGCAAGAACAAGGGCCTAGCGTGTCCAAAATAGCAGGAACAAGGGCCTAGCGTGTGCAAAATTTCAGGAACAAGGGCCTAGTGTGTGCAAAATTGCAAGAACAAGGGCCTAGTGTGTGCAAAATAGCAAGAATAAGGGCCTAGCGTGTGCAAAATTGCAAGAACAAGGGCCTAGTGAGTGCAAAATTGCAAGAACAAAGGCCTAGGGTGTGCAAAACATCAAAAACAAGGGCCTAGTGTGTGCAAAATTGCAAGAACAAGAGTCTAGCGTGTGCAAAATAGCAAGAACAAGGGCCAAGCCAGTGCAAAATAGCTAGAACAAGGGCCTAGTGTGTGAAAAAATTGCTAGAAAAAGGGCCTAGCGAGTGCAAAATTGCACGAACAAGGACCTGGCGTGTGCAAAATTGCAAGAACAAGGGCCTAGCGAGTGCAAAATTGCAAGAACAAGGGCCTGGGGAGTGCAAAATAGGAAGAACAAGAGCCTAGCGAGTGCAAAATTGCAAGACAGAGGTCCTAGCGTGTGCAAAATAGCAAGAACAAGGGCCTAGCGTGTGCAAAATAGCAAAAACAAGGGCCTAGCATGTGCAAAATTGCAAGAACAAGGACCTTGCGTGTTCAATATTGCAAGGACAAGGGCCTAGCGAGTGCAAAATTGCAAGAACAAGGGCCTAGCGTGTGCAAAATTGCAAGAACAAGGGCCTAACGAGTGCAAAATAGCAAGAACAAGGGCCTAGCGTGTGCAAAAATTGCAAAAACAATGGCCTAGCGAGTTCAACATCCACGTCCACGTCCACGTCCACGTCCACGACCACGTCCACGTCCACGTCCACGACCACGTCCACGTCCACGACCACGTCCACGACCACGTCCATGTCCACGTCCACGTCCACGTCCAGGTCGACATCCACGTCCACGTCCACGTCCACGTCCTCCACGTCCACGTCCACGTCCACGTCCTCCACGACCACGTCCACGTCCTCCACGTCCACGTCCATGTCCTCCACGACCACGTCCACGTCCTCCACGACCACGTCCACGTCCACGTCCACGACCACGTCCACGACCACGTCCACGTCCATGTCCACGTCCACGTCCACGTCCACGTCCAGGTCCACGTCCACGTCCACGTCCATGTCCATGTCCACGTCCACGTCCACGTCCACGTCCACGTCCACGTCCTCCACCACGTCCACGTCCACGTCCATGTCCACGTCCAGGTCCACGTCCATGACCACGTCCACGACCACGTCCACGTCCATGTCCTCCACGTCCATGTCCAAGTCCTCCACGTCCAAGTCCAAGTCCTCCACATCCACGACCACGTCCACGTCAACGTCAACATCCACGTCCACGTCCACAACCACGTCCACGACCACGTCCACCTCCACGTCCACGTCCTCCACGTCCACGTCCTCCACGTCCACGTCCACGACCACATCCACGTCCACGACCACGTCCACGTCCACGTCCAAGTCCAAGTCCAGGTCCACGTCCGCGTCCACGTCCACGACCACGTCCGCGTCCACGTCCACGTCCACGTCCACGTCCTCCACCACGTCCACGTCCACGTCGAGGTCCACGTCCATGACCACGTCCACGACCACGTCCACGTCCATGTCCTCCACGTCCACGTCCAAGTCCTCCACGTCCAAGTAAAAGTCCTCCACGTCCACGACCACGTCCACGTCCACGTCATCGTCCACGTCCACGTCCACGACCACGTCCACATCACGTCCACATCCACGTCGACGTCCACGTCCTCCACATCCACGTCCACGACCACGTCCACGTCCATGTCCCCGTCCACGTCCACGTCCAAGTCCTCCATATCCACGACCACGTCCACGTCCACGTCTACGTCCACATCCACGTCCACGTCCACGTCCAAGTCCTCCATGTCCACGACCACGTCCACATCCACGTCTACGTCCACGTCCACGTCCACGTCCACGCCCTCCACGTCCACGTCCACGTCCACGCCCTCCACGTCCACGTCCACGTCCACGTCCACGTCCACGTCCATGACCACGTCCACGTCCACGTGCACGTCCACGTCCACGTCCACGTCCACGTCCACGACCACGACCACGGCCACGTCCACGACCACGTCAACGTCCACGTCCACGTCCACGTCCACGACCACGTCCACGTCCACGTCCACATCGACGTCCACGACCACGTCCACTCCACGACCACGACCACATCCACGTCGACGTCCAAGTCCACGTCCACGTCCACGTCCACGTCCACGACCACGTCTACGTCCACGTCCAGGTCCACGTCCACGTCCACGACCACGTCCACGTCCACGACCACCTCCAGGTCCACGTCCACGTCCACGTCCACGTCCATGTCCACGTCCAAGTCCTCCACGTCCACGACCACGTCCACGTCCACGTCCACGTCCAAGTCCACGTCCACGTCCACGTCCACGTCCACGACCACGTCCACGTCCACGTCCACGTCCACGACCACGTCCACGTCCACGTCCACGACCACGTCCACGTCCAAGTCCTCCACGTCCACGACCACGTCCACGTCCACGTCCACGTCCAAGTCCACGTCCACGTCCACGTCCACGTCCACGACCACGACCACGTCCACGTCCACGTCCACGACCACGTCCACGTCCACGTCCACGACCACGTCCACGTCCACGTCCACGTCCACGTCCTCCACGACCACGTCCACGTCCACGACCACGTCCACGTCCACGTCCACGTCCAGGTCCACGTCCACATCCACGTCCACGTCCAAGTCCTTCACGTCCACGACCACGTCCATGTCCACGTCCACGTCCACGTCCACGTCGTGGACGACCACGTCCATGTCTACGACCACGTCCACGACCACGTCCACGTCCACGTCCACGAACACGTCCATGTCCACGTCGACGTCCACGTCCACGTCCAGATCGACGTCCACGTCGACGTCCACGTCCACGTCCTCCACGTCCACGTCCACGTCCACGTCCTCCACGACCACGTCCACGTCCTCCACGACCATGTCCACGTCCACGTCCACGTCCACGTCCATGTCCACGTCCACGTCCAGGTCCACGTCCACGTCCACGTCCACGTCCACGACCACGTCCACGACCACGTCCACGTCCACGTCCACGTCCACGTCCACGTCCATGTCCAGGTCCACGTCCACGTCCACGTCCATGTCCACGTCCACGTCCACGTCCACGTCCACGTCCACGTCCATGTCCACGTCCATGTCCACGTCCACGTCTATGTCCACGTCCATGTCCACGTCCACGTCCACGTCCACGTCCACGTCCATGTCCACGTCCATGTCCTCGTCCAGGTCCACGTCCAGGTCCATGTCCACGTCCACGTCCACGTCCACGTCCACGTCCACGACCACGTCCACGTCCACGTCCACGTCCACGTCCACGTCCTCGTCCATGTCCATGTCCACGTCCACGTCCACGTCCATGTCCACGTCCAGGTCCAGGTCCACGTCCACGTCCACGTCCACGTCCACGTCCACGTCCATGTCCACGTCCACGTCCATGTCCACGTCCACGTCCACGACCACGTCCACGTCCACGTCCACGACCACGTCCACGTCCACGTCCACGTCCACGTCCACGTCCACGTCCTCCACCACGTCCACGTCCACGTCCATGTCCACGTCCAGGTCCACGTCCATGACCACGTCCACGACCACGTCCACGTCCATGTCCTCCACGTCCATGTCCAAGTCCTCCACGTCCAAGTCCAAGTCCTCCACATCCACGTTAACGTCAACATCCACGTCCACGTCCACAACCATGTCCACGACCACGTCCACCTCCACGTCCACGTCCTCCACGTCCACGTCCACGTCCACGTCCACGTCCATGTCCAGGTCCACGTCCATGTCCACGTCCATGTCCACGTCCATGTCCACGTCCACGTCCACGTCCACGTCCATGTCCACGTCCATGTCCACGTCCACGTCCATGTCCACGTCCATGTCCACGCCCACGTCCACGTCCACGTCCACGCCCACGTCCACGTCCATGTCCATGTCCACGTCCACGTCCACGTCCATGTCCTCGTCCACGTCCACGTCCACGTCCACGACCACGTCCACGTCCACGTCCACGTCCACGTCCACGTCCTCGTCCATGTCCACGTCCACGTCCACGTCCACGTCCAGGTCCACGTCCACGTCCACGTCCACGTCCACGTCCATGTCCACGTCCACGTCCATGTCCACGTCCACGTCCACGACCACGTCCACGTCCACGTCCACGTCCACGTCCACGACCACGTCCACGTCCACGTCCACGTCCACGTCCACGTCCACGTCCACGTCCACGTCCTCCACCACGTCCACGTCCACGTCCATGTCCACGTCCAGGTCCACGTCCATGACCACGTCCACGACCACGTCCACGTCCATGTCCTCCACGTCCATGTCCAAGTCCTCCACGTCCAAGTCCAAGTCCTCCACATCCACGACCACGTCCACATCAACGTCAACATCCACGTCCACGTCCACAACCATGTCCACGACCATGTCCACCTCCACGTCCACGTCCTCCACGTCCACGTCCTCCACGTCCACGTCCACGACCACGTCCACGTCCACGACCACGTCCACGTCCAAGTCCAAGTCCAGGTCCACGTCCGCGTCCACGTCCCTGACCACGTCCGCGTCCACGTCCACGTCCACGTCCACGTCCACGTCCTCCACCACGTCCACGTCCACGTCGAGGTCCACGTCCATGACCACGTCCACGACCACGTCCACATCCATGTCCTCCACGTCCACGTCCAAGTCCTCCACGTCCAAGTAAAAGTCCTCCACGTCCACGACCATGTCCACGTCCACGTCCAAGTCAACGTCCACGTCCACGTCCACGACCACGTCCACATCACGTCCACATCCACGTCGACGTCCACGTCCTCCACGTCCACGTCCACGACCACGTCCACGTCCATGTCCCCGTCCACGTCCACGTCCAAGTCCTCCATGTCCACGACCACGTCCACGTCCACGTCTACGTCCACGTCCACATCCACGTCCTCCACGTCCACGTCCACGTCCTCCACGTCCACGTCCACGTCCACGTCCACGTCCACGTCCACTTCCACGTCCAAGTCCTCCATGTCCACGACCACGTCCACGTCCACGTCTACGTCCACGTCCACGTCCACGTCCACGCCCTCCACGTCCACGTCCACGTCCACGCCCTCCACGTCCACGTCCACGTCCACGTCAATGACCACGTCCACGTCCACATGGACGTCCACGTCCACGTCCACGTCCACGACCACGACCACGGCCACGTCCACGACCACGTCAAAGTCCACGTCCACGTCCACGTCCACGACCACGTCCACGTCCACGTCCACGTCGACATCCACGACCACGTCCACTCCAGGACCACGTCCACATCCACGTCGACGTCCAAGTCCACGTCCACGTCCACGTCCACGTCCACGACCATGTCCACGTCCACGTCCACGTCCACGTCCACGTCCACGTCCACGTCCACGTCGACGTCCACGTCCAGGTCCACGTCCACGTCCACGACCACGTCCACGTCCACGACCACCTCCAGGTCCACGTCCACGTCCACGTCCACGTCCATGTCCTCCACGTCCATGTCCAAGTCCTCCACATCCACGACCACGTCCACATCAACGTCAACATCCACGTCCACGTCCACAACCATGTCCACGACCACGTCCACCTCCATGTCCACGTCCTCCACGTCCACGTCCTCCACGTCCACGTCCACGACCACGTCCACGTCCACGACCACGTCCACGTCCACGTCCAAGTCCAAGTCCAGGTCCAGGTCCGCGTCCACGTCCACGACCACGTCTGCGTCCACGTCCACGTCCACGTCCACGTCCTCCACCACGTCCACGTCCACGTCGAGGTCCACGTCCATGACCACGTCCACGACCACGTCCACGTCCATGTCCTCCACGTCCACGTCCAAGTCCTCCACGTCCAAGTAAAAGTCCTCCACGTCCACGACCACGTCCACGTCCACGTCCACGTCAACGTCCACGTCCACGTCCACGACCACGTCCACATCACGTCCACATCCACGTCGACGTCCACGTCCTCCACGTCCACGTCCACGACCACGTCCACGTCCATGTCCCCGTCCACGTCCACGTCCAAGTCCTCCATGTCCACGACCACGTCCACGTCCACGTCTACGTCCACGTCCACGTCCACGTCCTCCACGTCCACGTCCACGTCTACCACGTCCACGTCCACGTCCACGTCCACGTCCACGTCCAAGTCCTCCATGTCCACGACCACGTCCACGTCCACGTCTACGTCCACGTCCACGTCCACGTCCACGCCCTCCACGTCCACGTCCACGTCCACGTCCACATCCACGTCCATGACCACGTCCACGTCCACGTGGACGTCCACGTCCACGTCCACGTCCACGTCCACGACCACGACCACGGCCACGTCCACGACCACGTCAACGTCCACGTCCACGTCCACGTCCACGTCCACGTCCACGTCCAAGTCCAAGTCCAGGTCCACGTCCACGACCACGTCCACATCCACGTCGACGTCCAAGTCCACGTCCACGTCCACGTCCACGTCCACGACCATGTCCACGTCCACGTCCACGTCCACGTCCACGTCCACGTCGACATCCACGTCCAGGTCCACGTCCCCGTCCACGACCACGTCCACGTCCACGACCACCTCCAGGTCCACGTCCACGTCCACGTCCACGTCCATGTCCACGTCCAAGTCCTCCACGTCCACGACCACGTCCACGTCCACGTCCACGTCCACGTCCAAGTCCATGTCTACGACCACGTCCACGACCACGTCCACGTCCACGTCCACGTCCACGACCACGTCCTCCACGTCCACGACCACGACCACGTCCACGACCACGTCCACGTCCAGGTCCGCGTCCACGTCCACGACCACGTCCACGTCCAAGTCCTCCACGTTCACAACGACGTCCACGTCCACGTCCACGTCCACGACCACGTCCACGTCCAAGACCACGACCACGTCCACGACCACAACCACGACCACGTCCACGACCTCGTCAACGTCCACGTCCACATCCACGACCACGTACACGTCCACGTCGACGTCCACAACCACGTCCACTCCACGACCACGTCCACGTCCACGTCCAAGTCCAGGTCCAGGTCCATGTCCACGTCCATGTCCACGTCCAGGTCCAAGTCCACGTCCACGTCCACGTACACGTCCAAGTCCACGTCCAGGTCCACGTCCACGTACACGTCCAAGTCCACGTCCAGGTCCACGTCCACGTACACGTCCAAGTCCACGTCCAGGTCCACGTCCACGTACACGTCCAAGTCCACGTCCACGTCCACGTCCATGTCCACGTCCTCCACGTCCACGTCCAACTCCTCCACGTCCACGTCCACGTTCTCCACGTCCACGTCCTCCACGTCCACGTCCACGACCACGTCCACGTCCACGTCCTCCATCACATCCACGTCCACGTCCACGTCCACGTCCATGACCACGTCCACGACCACGTGCACGTCCACGTCTAATTCCTCCACGTCCACGTCCAATTCCTCTATGTCCACGTCCACGACCACGTCCACGTCCACGTCAACGTCCACGTCCACGACCACGTCTATGTCCACGTCCACGTCCTCCACGTCCACGTCCTCCACGTCCACGTCCTCCACGTCCACGTCCACGACCACGTCCAGGTCCACGTCCACGACCACGTCCACGTACACGTCCACGACCACGTCCAGGTCCACGACCACGTCCACGTCCACGTCCACGACCACGTCCACGTCCACGTCCAGGTCCACGTCCACGTCCAAGTCCACGTCCACGTCCACGTCCACGTCCACGACCACGTCCACGTCCTCGTCCACGACCACGTCCACGTCCTCGTCCACGTCCACGTCCAGGTCCACGTCCACGTCCACGTCCACGTCCAGGTCCACGTCCACGTCCACGTCCACGTCCACGTCCAAGTCCTCCACGTCCACGTCCACGTCCTCGACGACCACGTCCACGTCCACGTCCTCCACGACCACGTCCACGTCCACGTCCACGTCCACGTCCCCGTCCACGTCCACGTCCACGTCCACGCCCACGTCCACGTCCACGTCCACGTCCACGTCCACGTCCACGTCCACGTCCACGTCCACGTCCACGTCCACGTCCACGTCCATGTCCACGTCCACGACCATGTCCACGTCCACGTCCACGTCCATGTCCACGTCCATGTCCACGTCCATGTCCACGTCCATGTCCACGTCCACGTCCACGTCCACGTCCATGTCCACGTCCACGTCCACGTCCATGTCCACGTCCACGTCTACGTCCACGTCCATGTCCACGTCCATGTCCACGTCCACGTCCACGTCCACGTCCACGTCCATGTCCACGTCCATGTCCACGTCCACGTCCACGTCCACGTCCATGTCAACGTCCACGTCCATGTCCACGTCCACGTCCACGTCCACGTCCACGTCCACGTCCACGTCCACGTCCAAGTCCTCCACGTCCACGTCCACGTCCACGTCCATGTCCACGTCCACGTCCACGTCCACGTCCACGTCCATGTCCACGTCCAAGTCCTCCACGTCCACGTCCACGTCCATGTCCACGTCCACGTCCACGTCCACGTCCAAGTCCTCCACGTCCACGTCCACGTCCACGTCCACGTCCATGTCCACGTCCACGTCCACGTCCACGTCCATGTCCACGTCCACGTCCACGTCCACGTCCAAGTCCTCCACGTCCACGTCCACGTCCACGTCCACGTCCACGTCCACGTCCACGTCCATGTCCACGTCCACGTCCACGTCCAAGTCCTCCACGTCCACGTCCACGTCCACGTCCACGTCCACGTCCATGTCCACGTCCATGTCCACGTCCACGTCCATGTCCACGTCCACGTCCACGTCAACGTCCATGTCCACGTCCTCTACGTCCACGTCCACGTCCACGTCCACGTCCACGTCCACGTCCATGTCCACGTCCATGTCCACGTCCATGTCCACGTCCACGTCCATGTCCACGTCCACGTCCATGTCCATGTCCACGTCCACGTCCACGTCCACGTCTATGTCCACGTCCACGTCCACGTCCACGTCCATGTCCACGTCCATGTCCACGTCCACGTCCACGTCCACGTTCACGTCCACGTCCACGTCCAGGTCCACGTCCACGTCCATGTCCACGTCCAAGTCCTCCACGTCCACGTCCATGTCATGTCCACGTCCACGTCCACGTCCACGTCCATGTCCACGTCCATGTCCACGTCCACGTCCACGTCCACGTCCATGTCCACGTCCACGTCCACGTCCACGTCCATGTCCACGTCCACGTCCACGTCCACGTCCAAGTCCTCCACGTCCACGTCCACGTCCACGTCCACGTCCATATCCACGTCCACGTCCACGTCCACGTCCATGTCCACGTCCATGTCTACGTCCACGTCCACGTCCACGTCCACGTCCATGTCCACGTCCACGTCCACGTCCACGTCCACGTCTATGTCCACCTCCATGTCCACGTCCATGTCCACGTCCAAGTCCACGTCCATGTCCATGTCCACGCCCATGTCCACGTCCATGTCCACGTCCATGTCCACGTCCATGTCCACGTCCACGTCCACGTCCACGTCCATGTCCACGTTCATGTCCACGTCCATGTCCACGTCCACGTCCATGTCCACGTCCATGTCCACGTCAACGTCCATGTCTACGTCCACGTCCATGTTCACGTCCATGTCCACGTCCACGTCCCTGTCCACGTCCATGTCCACGTCCACGTCCACGTCCACATCCACGTCCACGTTCACGTCCACGTCCACGTCCAGGTCCACGTCCATGTCCACGTCCACGTCCATGTCCACGTCCACGTCCACGTCCACGTCCATGTCCATGTCCACGTCCACGTCCACGTCCACGTCCACGTCCACGTCCACGTCCATGTCCACGTCCACGTCATCGTCCACGTCCATGTCCACGTCCACGTCCATGTCCACGTCCACGTCCACGTCCATGTCCACGTCCACGTCCACGTCCATATCGACGTCCACGTCCACGTCCACGTCCACGTCCACGTCCATGTCCACGTCCACGTCCACGTCCACGACCGTCCACATCCACGTCCACGTCCACGTCCATGTCCACGTCCAAGTCCTCCACGTCCACGTCCACGTCCATGTCCACGTCCACGTCCATGTCCACGTCCACGTCCACGTCCACGCCCACGTCCACGTCCATGTCCACGTCCACGTCTATGTCCACGTCCACGTCCACGTCCACGTCCACGTCCATGTCCACGTCTACGTCCACGTCCACGTCCACGTCCACGTCCAGGTCCACGTCCATGTCCACGTCCACGTCCACGTCCACGTCCATGTCCACGTCCAGGTCCACGTCCACACGTCCACGTCCACGACCATCCACGTCCACGTCCACGTCCACGTCCATGTCCACGTCCAAGTAATCCACGTCCACGTCCACGTCCACGTCCACGTCCATGTCCACGTCCACGTCCATGTCCACGTCCACGTCCACGTCCACGTCCACGTCCACGTCCATGTCCACGCCCACGTCCACGTCCATGTCCACGTCCACGTCCACGTCCACGTCCAGGTCCACGTCCATGTCCACGTCCATGTCCACGTCCACGTCCATGTCCACGTCCACGTCCATGTCCATGTCCACGTCCACGTCCACGTCCACGTCCACGTCTATGTCCACGTCCATGTCCACGTCCACGTCCATGTCCACGTCCATGTCCACGTCCACGTCCACGTCCATGTCCACGTCCACGTCCACGTCCACGTTCACGTCGACGTCCACGTCCAGGTCCACATCCACGTCCATGTCCACGTCCAAGTCCTCCACGTCCACGTCCACGTTCATGTCCACGTCCACGTCCACGTCCATGTCCACGTCCATGTCCACGTCCACGTCCACGTCCACGTCCATGTCCACGTCCACGTCCACGTCCACGTCCATGTCCACGTCCACGTCCACGTCCACGTCCAAGTCCTCCACGTCCACGTCCACGTCCACGTCCACGTCCATATCCACGTCCACGTCCACGTCCACGTCCATGTCCACGTCCATGTCTACGTCCACGTCCAGGTCCACGTCCACGTCCATGTCCACGTCCACGTCCACGTCCACGTCCACGTCTATGTCCACCTCCATGTCCACGTCCATGTCCACGTCCAAGTCCACGTCCACGTCCATGTCCACGTCCATGTCCACGTCCATGTCCACGTCCATGTCCACGTCCATGTCCACGTCCACGTCCACGTCCACGTCCACGTCGATGTCCACGTCCATGTCCATGTCCATGTCCACGTCCACGTCCACGTCCACGTCCATGTCCACGTCCACGTCCATGTCCACGTCCACGTCCATGTTCACGTCCATGTCCACGTCCACGTCCATGTCCACGTCCATGTCCACGTCCACGTCCACGTCCACGTTCACGTCCACGTCCACGTCCAGGTCCACGTCCATGTCCACGTCCACGTCCATGTCCACGTCCACGTCCACGTCCACGTCCATGTCCACGTCCACGTCCACGTCCACGTCCACGTCCACGTCCATGTCCACGTCCACGTCATCGTCCACGTCCATGTCCACGTCCACGTCCATGTCCACGTCCACGTCCATGTCCACGTCCACGTCCATGTCCATGTCCACGTCCACGTCCACGTCCACGTCCACGTCCATGTCCACGTCCACGTCCACGTCCATGTCCACGTCCACGTCCACGTCCACGTCCATGTCCACGTCCACGTCCACGTCCACGTCCACGTCCACGTCCATGTCCACGTCCACGTCATCGTCCACGTCCACGTCCACGTCCACGTCCATGTCCACGTCCACGTCCATGTCCACGTCCACGTCCACGTCCATGTCCACGTGCAAGTCCTCCACGTCCACGTCCACGTTCATGTCCACGTCCACGTCCACGTCCACGTCCATGTCCACGTCCATGTCCACGTCCACGTCCACGTCCACGTCCATGTCCACGTCCACGTCCACGTCCACGTCCATGTCCACGTCCACGTCCACGTCCACGTCCACGTCCACGTCCATGTCCACGTCCACGTCATCGTCCACGTCCATGTCTACGTCCACGTCCATGTCCACGTCCACGTCCATGTCCACGTCCACGTCCACGTCCACGTCCACGTCCACGTCCACGTCCACGTCCACGTCCACGTCCATGTCCACGTCCACGTCATCGTCCACGTCCATGTCCACGTCCACGTCCATGTCCACGTCCACGTCCACGTCCATGTCCACGTCCACGTCCACGTCCATGTCGACGTCCACGTCCACGTCCACGTCCACGTCCACGTCCATGTCCACGTCCACGTCCACGACCGTCCACATCCACGTCCACGTCCACGTCCATGTCCACGTCCAAGTCCTCCACGTCCACGTCCACGTCCATGTCCACGTCCACGTCCATGTCCACGTCCACGTCCACGTTCACGTCCAGGTCCACGTCCACGTCCACGTCCACGTCCACGCCCACGTCCACGTCCATGTCCACGTCCACGTCTACGTCTATGTCCACGTCCACGTCCACGTCCACGTCCATGTCCACGTCCACGTCCACGTCCACGTCCATGTCCACGTCCACGTCCATGTCCACGTCCATGTCCACGTCCAGGTCCACGTCCACACGTCCACGTCCACGTCCACGACCATCCACGTCCACGTCCACGTCCACGTCCATGTCCACGTCCAAGTCCTCCACGTCCACGTCCACGTCCACGTCCACGTCCACGTCCATGTCCACGTCCACGTCCACGTCCATGTCCACGTCCACGTCCACGTCCACGCCCACGTCCACGTCCATGTCCACGTCCACGTCCACGTCCATGTCCACGTCCACGTCCACGTCCATGTCCATGTCTATGTCCACGTCCATGTCCACGTCCACGTCCACGTCCATGTCCACGTCCACGTCCACGTCCATGTCCACGTCCACGTCCACGCCCACGTCCACGTCCATGTCCACGTCCACGTCCACGTCTATGTCCACGTCCACGTCCACGTCCATGTCCACGTCCACGTCCACGTCCACGTCCATGTCCACGTCCATGTCCACGTCCACGTCCACGTCCACGTCCTCCACGTCCACCTCCACGTCCACGTCCACGTCCACGTCCATGTCCACGTCCATGTCCACGTCCACGTCCACGTCCATGTCCACGTCCACGTCCTCCACGTCGACGTCCACGTCCATGTCCACGTCCACGTCCACGTCCACGTCCACGTCCACGTCCATGTCCACGTCCATGTACACGTCCATGTCCACGTGCACATCCACGTCCACGTCCACGTCCATGTCCACGTCCACGTCCACGTCCACGTCCATGTCCACGTCCACGTCCACGTCCATGTCCACGTCCATGTCCACATCCACGTCCATGTCCACGTCCATGTCCACGTCCACGTCCACGTCCACGTCCTAGTCCACGTTCACGTCAACGTCCACGTTCACGTCCACGTCCACGTCCAGGTCCACGTCCACGTCCATGTCCACGTCCAAGTCCTCCACGTCCACGTCCACGTTCATGTCCACGTCCACGTCCACGTCCATGTCCACGTCCATGTCCACGTCCACGTCCACGTCCATGTCCACGTCCATGTCCACGTCCACGTCCATGTCCATGTCCACGTCCACGTCCACGTCCATGTCTACGTCCAAGTCCTCCACATCCACGTCCACGTCCATGTCCACGTCCACGTCCACGTCCACGTCCATCTCCACGTCCACGTCCACGTCCACGTCCATGTCCACGTCCATGTCTACGTCCACGTCCATGTCCACGTCCATGTCCACGTCCACGTTCATGTCCACGTCCATGTCCACGTCCACGTCCACGTCCACGTCGACGTCCATGTCCACCTCCATGTCCATGTCCATGTCCACGTCCAAGTCCACGTCCACCTCCATGTCCACGTCCATGTCCACGTCCATGTCCACGTCCATGTCCACGTCCACGACCTCCACGTCCACGTCCACGTCCACGTCCACGTCTATGTCCACGCCCACGTCCACGTCCATGTCCACGTCCACGTCCACGTCCACGTCTATGTCCACGTCCACGTCCACGTCCACGTCCACGTCCATGTCCACGTCCACGTCCACGTCCACGTCCATGTCCACGTCCATGTCCACGTCCACATCCAAGTCCACGTCCACGTCCTCCACGTCCACGTCCACGTCCACGTCCACGTCCACGTCCATGTCCACGTCCACGTCCACGTCCACGTCCACGTCCATGTCCACGTCTACGTCCTCCACGTCCACGTCCACGTCCATGTCCACGTCCACGTCCACGTCCATGTCCACGTCTACGTCCACGTCCATGTCCACGTCCACGTCCATATCCACATCCATGTCCACGTCCACGTCCACGTCCATGTCCACGTCCATGTCCACGTCCACGTCCACGTCCATGTCCACGTCCAAGTCCTCCACGTCCACGTCCACGTCCACGTCCATATCCACGTCCACGTCCACGGCCATGTCCACGTCCATATCCACGTCCACGTCCATGTCCACGTCCATGTCCACGTCCATGTCCACGTCCATGTCCAAGTCCATGTCCACCTCCACGTCCACGTCCAGGTCCACCTCCACGTCCACGTCCACCTCCACGTCCATGTCCACGTCCACGTCCATGTCCATGTCCACGTCCACGTCCACGTCCACGTCCATGTCCATGTCCATGTCCACGTCCACGTCCAGGTCCAGGTCCACGTCCACGTCCACGTCCACGTCCAGGTCCACGTCCAAGTCCACGTCCACGTCCACGTCCACGTCTACGTCCACGTCCACGTCCACGTCCATGTCCACGTCCATGTCCACGTCCACGTCCACGTCCACGTCCACGTCCATGTCCATGTCCACGTCCAAGTCCTCCACGTCCTCGTCCACGTCCATGTCCACGTCCTCCACGTCCACGTCCACGTCCACCTCCTCCACGTCCACGTCAACGTCCATGTCCACGTCAATGTCCACGTCCACGTCCACGTCCACGTCTTCGTCCACGTCCACGTCCACGTCCATGTCCACGTCCACGTCCACGTCCACGTTCACGTCCACGTCCACGTCCATGTCCACGTCCACGTCCGCGTCCACGTCCATGTCCACGTCCATGTCCACATCCATGTCCACGTCCACGTCCACGTCCATGTCCACGTCCATGTCTACGTCCACGTCCACGTCCATGTCCACGTCCACGTCCATGTCCACGTCCATGTCCACGTCCACGTCCACGTCCACGTCCATGACCACGTCCACGTCCACGTCCACGTCCACGTCCACGACCATGTCCATGTCCACGTCCACGTCCACGTCCACGTCCACGTCCATGACCACGTCCACGTCCACGTCCACGTCCATGTCCACGTCCACGTCCACGTCCACGTCCATGACCACGTCCACGTCCCGTCCATGTCCACGTCCACGTCCATGTCCTAGTCCATGTCCACGTCCAGGTCCACGTCCACGTCCACGTCCACGTCCACATCCACGACCACATCCACGTCCACGTCCACGTCCACGTCCACGTCCACGTCCATGTCCATGTCCACGTCCACGTCCACGTCCACGTCCACGTCCACGTCCACGTCCACTTCCATGTCCACGTCCACGTCCATGTCCACGTCCATGTCCACGTCCATGTCCACGTCCACGTCCACGTCCATGTCCATGTCCACGTCCACGTCCATGTCCATGTCCACGTCCACAACCACGTCCATGTCCATGTCCACGTCCATGTCCACGTCCACGTCCACGTCCACGTCCACGTCCACGTCTACGTCCACGTCCACGTCCACGTCCACGTCTACGTCCATGTCCACGTCCAAGTCCTCCACGTCCATGTCCACGTCCATGTCCACGTCCACGTCCACGTCCACGTCCACGTCCATGTCCACGTCCACGTCCACGTCCACGTCCATGTCCACGTCCATGTCCACGTCCACGTCCATGTCCACGTCCACGTCCACGACCATGTCCACGTCCAAGTCCTCTACGTCCACGTCCACGTCCATGTCCACGTCCACGTCCACGTCCACGACCATGTCCACGACCAAGTCCTCTACGTCCACGTCCACGTCCATGTCCACGTCCACGTCAACGTCCACGTCCATGTCCACGTCCACGTCCACGTCCACGTCCATGTCCACGTCCACGTCCACGTCCATGTCCACGTCCATGTCCACGTCCACGTCCATGTCCACGTCCATGTCTACGTCCACGTCCATGTCCACGTCCATGTCCACGTCCACGTCCACGTCCATGTCCACGTCCATGTCCACCTCCATGTCCACGTCCACGTCCATGTCCACGTCCAAGTCCACGTCCACATCCATGTCCATGTCCACGTCCATGTCCACGTCCATGTCCACGTCCACGTCCACGTCCACGTCCACGTTCACGACCATGTCCACGTCCATGTCCACGTCCACGTCCACATCCACGTCCACGTCCACGTCCATGTCCACGTCCACGTCCACGTCCATGTCCACGTCCATGTCCACGTCCACGTCCACGTCCACGTCCAAGTCCACGTCCACGTCCATGTCCATGTCCACGTCCATGTCCACGTCCATGTCCACGTCCATGTCCACGTCCACGTCCACGTCCACGTCCACGTCCACGTCCACGTCCACGACCACGTCCACGTCCACGACCCTCCACGTCCACGTCCACGTCCACGTCCATGTCCACGTCCATGTCCACGTCCAAGTCCTCCACGTCCACGTCCACGTCCACGTCCACCTCTAAGTCCACGTCCACGTCCACGTCCACGTCCATGTCCACGTCCATGTCCACGTGTTCACGTCCACGTCCACGTCCACCTCTATGTCCACGTCCACGTCCACGTCCACGTCCATGTCCACGTCCATGTCCACGTCCACGTCCACGTCCACGTCCATGTCCACGTCCACGTCCACGTCCACGTCCAAGTCCAGGTCTACGTCCAGGTCCACGTCCACGTCCACGTCCATGTCCACGTCCTCCACGTCCACGTCCACGTCCACGTCCACGTCCATGTCCACGTCCACGTCCATGTCCACGTCCACGTCCACGTCCACGTCCATGTCCACGTCCACGTCCTCCACGTCCACGTCTATGTCCACGTCCATGTCCACGTCCACGTCCACGTCCACATCCATGTCCACGTCCACGTCCACGTCCACGTCCACGTCCATGTCCACGTCCATGTCCACGTCCACGTCCATGTCCACGTCCATGTCCACGTCCACGTCCACGTCCACGTTCACGTCCACGTCCAGGTCCACGTCCACGTCCAAGTCCTCCACGTCCACGTCCACGTCCATGTCCACGTCCACGTCCACGTCCACGTCCAGGTCCACGTCCATGTGTAGGTCCACATCCACGTCCACGTCCATGTCCACGTCCATGTCCACGTCCACGTCCATGTCCACGTCCACGTCCACGTCCATGTCCACGTCCAAGTCCTCCACGTCCACGTCCACGTCCATGTCCACGTCCACGTCCACGTCCATGTCCACGTCCATGTCCACGTCCATGTCCACCTCCACGTCCACGTCCACCTCCACGTCCAAGTCCACGTCCATGCCATGTCCATGTCCACGTCCATGTCCACGTCCATGTCCATGTCCATGTCCATGTCCACGTCCACGTCCACGTCCACGTCCATGTCCACCTCCACCTCCACGTCCACGTCCAAGTCCACGTCCACGTCCACGTCCATGTCCACGTCCACGTCCACATCCACGTCCACCTCCACGTCCACGTCCACGTCCATGTCCACGTCCATGTCCACGTCCATGTCCACGTCCACGTCCACGTCCACGTCCACGTCCTCGTCCACGTCCACGTCCACGTCCACGTCCACGTCAACGCCCATGTCCATGTCCACGTCCACGTCCATGTCCACGTCCACGTCCACGTCCACGTCCATGTCCACGTCCACGTCCACGTCCACGTCCACGTCCATGTCCACGTCCATGTCCACGTCCACGTCCATGTCCACGTCCTCCACGTCCACGTCCACGTCCACGTCCACGTCCATGTCCACGTCCATGTCCACGTCCATGTCCACGTCCACGTCCACGTCCATGTCCACGTCCATGTCCACGTCCATGTCCACGTCCACGTCCGCGTCCATGACCACGTCCACGTCCACGTCCACGTCCAAGACCACGTCCAAGTCCACGTCCACGTCCATGTCCACGTCCACGTCCACGTCCACGTCCACGTCCACCTCCACGTCCACGTCCACGTCCACGTCCACGTCCACGTCCACGTCCACGTCCACGTCCACGTCCACGACCACGTCCACGTCCACGTCCACGTCCACGTCCACGTCCACGTTCACGTCCATGTCCACGTCCACGTCCACGTCCACGTCCATGTCCACGTCCATGTCCACGTCCACGTCCACGTCCACGTCCACGTCCACGTCCACGTCCACGTCCAGGTCCACGTCCACGTCCACGTCCACGTCCACGTCCATGACCACGTCCACGTCCACGTCCACGTCCACGTCCACGTCCACGTCCACGTCCACGTTCACGTCCACGTCCACGTCCACGTCCACGTCCACGTCCACGTCCACGTCCACGTCCACGTCCATGTCCACGTCCAGGTCCACGTCCAGGTCCACGTCCACGTCCACGTCCACGTCCCACGTCCACTCGTCCACGTCCACGTCCACGTCCACGTCCACGTCCACGTCCACGTGCACGTGCACGTCCACGTCCACGTCCACGTCCATGTCCACGTCCACGTCCACGTCCACGTCCATGTCCACGTCCACGTCCACGTCCACGTCCACGTCCACCTCCACGTCCACCTCCATGTCCACGTCCAACTCCACGTCCACCTCCATGTCCAAGTCCATGTCCACGTCCATGTCCACGTCCATGTCCACGTCCACATCCACGTCCACGTCCACGTCCACGACCACGTCCACGACCACGTCCACGTCCACGTCCACGTCCATATCCATGTCCACGTCCATGTCCACGTCCATGTCCACCTCCACGTCCAGGTCCACGTCCATGTCCACGTCCAAGTCCACGTCCACGTCCATGTCTATGTCCACGTCCATGTCCACGTCCATGTCCACGTCCATCTGGTCCTAGTCCATGTCTATGTCCACGTCCATGTCCACGTCCACGTCCATGTCCACGTCCATGTCCATGTCCACGTCCATGTCCACGTCCACGTCCACGTCCATGTCCACGTCCATGTCCACGTCCATGTCCACCTCCACGTCCACGTCCACCTCCACGTCCATGTCCACGTCCACGTCCATGTCCACGTCCACGTCCACGTCCACGTCCACGTCCACGTCCACGTCCAGGTCCACGTCCACGTCCACGTCCACGTTCACGTCCACGTCCACGTCCACGTCCACGTCCACGTCCATGTCCACGTCCAGGTCCACGTCCACGTCCACGTCCACGTCCACGTCCACGTCCACGTCCACGTCCACGACCACGTCCACGTCCACGTCCACGTCCACGTTCACGTCCACGTCCACGTCCACGTCCACGTCCACGTCCACGTCCACGTCCATGTCCACGTCCAGGTCCACGTCCAGGTCCACGTCCACGTCCACGTCCACGTCCACGTCCACGTCCTCGTCCACGTCCACGTCCACGTCCACGTCCACGTCCACGTCCACGTCCACGTGGCACGTCCACGTCCATGTCCACGTCCACGTCCACGTCCACGTCCATGTCCACGTCCACGTCCACGTCCACGTCCACGTCCACCTCCACGTCCACCTCCATGTCCACGTCCAACTCCACGTCCACCTCCATGTCCAAGTCCATGTCCACGTCCATGTCCACGTCCATGTCCACGTCCACATCCACGTCCACGTCCACGTCCACGACCACGTCCACGACCACGTCCACGTCCACGTCCACGTCCATATCCATGTCCACGTCCATGTCCACGTCCATGTCCACCTCCACGTCCAGGTCCACGTCCATGTCCACGTCCAAGTCCACGTCCACGTCCATGTCTATGTCCACGTCCATGTCCACGTCCATGTCCACGTCCATCTGGTCCTAGTCCATGTCTATGTCCACGTCCATGTCCACGTCCACGTCCATGTCCACGTCCATGTCCATGTCCACGTCCATGTCCACGTCCACGTCCACGTCCATCCGTCCACGTCCATGTCCACGTCCATGTCCACCTCCACGTCCACGTCCACCTCCACCTCCATGTCCACGTCCACGTCCATGTCCACGTCCACGTCCACGTCCACGTCCACGTCCACGTCCACGTCCAGGTCCACGTCCACGTCCACGTCCACGTTCACGTCCACGTCCACGTCCACGTCCACGTCCACGTCCAGGTCCACGTCCATGTCCACGTCCACGTCCATGTCAACGTCCACGTCCACGTCCATGTCCACGTCCAAGTCCTCCACGTCCACGTCCACGTCCTCCACGTCCACGTCCACGTCCACGTCCTCCACGTCTACGTCCCCGTCCACGTCCACGTCCATGTCCACGTCCATGTCCACGTCCACGTCCATGTCCACGTCCATGTCCACGTCCATGTCCACGTCCACGTCCACGTCCACGTCGAGGACCACGTCCACGTCCACGTCCACGTCCACGTCCATGACCACGTCCACGTCCACGTCCACGTCCACGTCCATGTCCACGTCCACGTCCACGTCCACGTCCACGTCCACGTCCACGTCCACGACCACGTCCACGTCCACGTCCACGTCCACGTCCACGTCCACGTCCACGTCCATATCCACGTCCATCTCCACGTCCACGTCCATGTCCACGTCCACGTCCACGTCCACGTCCACGTCCACGTCCATGTCCACGTCCACGTCCATGTCCACGTCCACGTCCACGTCCACGTCCACGTCCACGTCCATGTCCACGTCCACGTCCACGTCCACGTCCACGTCCACGTCCACGTCCACGTCCACGTTCACGTCCACGTCCACGTCCACGTCCATGCCACGTCCTCGTCCACGTCCACGTCCACGTCCACGTTCACGTCCACGTCCACGTCCACGTCCACGTCCACGTCCACGTCCACGTCCACGTCCAGGTCCACGTCCACGTCCACGTCCACGTTCACGTCCACGTCCACGTCCACGTCCACGTCCATGTCCACGTCCACGTCCACGTCCATGTCCACGTCCATGTCCACGTCCACGTCGATGTCCACGTCCACGTCCACGTCCACGTCCACGTCCACCTCCACGTCCACCTCCATGTCCACGTCCAAGTCCATGTCCACGTCCATGTCCAAGTCCATGTCCACGTCCATGTCCACGTCCATGTCCACGTCCACGTCCACGTCCACGTCCACGACCACGTCCACGTCCACGTCCACGTCCATGTCCATGTCCACGTCCATGTCCACGTCCATGTCCACGTCCACGTCGACGTCGATGTCCACGTCCATGTCCACGTCCATGTCCACGTCCATGTCCACCTCCACGTCCACGTCCATGTCCACGTCCAAGTCCACGTCCACGTCCATGTCTATGTCCACGTCCATGTCCACGTCCATGTCCACGTCTATCTGGTCCACATCCATGTCCATGTCCACGTCCATGTCCACGTCCACGTCCATGTCCACGTCCATGTCCATGTCCACGTCCATGTCCACGTCCACGTCCATGTCCACGTCCATGTCCACGTCCATGTCCACCTCCACGTCCACGTCCACCTCCACGTCCATGTCCACGTCCACGTCCATGTCCATGTCCACGTCCACGTCCACGTCCACGTCCACGTCCATGTCCACGTCCACGTCCACGTCCAGGTCCACGTCCACGTCCACGTCCCACGTCCCATGTCCACGTCCATGTCCACGTCCACGTCCACGTCCATGTCCACGTCCAAGTCCTCCATGTCCACGTCCACGTCCTCCACGTCCACGTCCACGTCCACGTCCACGTCCTCCACGTCCACGTCCCCGTCCACGTCCACGTCCACGTCCATGTCCACGTCCATGTCCACGTCCACGTCTACGTCCATGTCCACGTCCATGTCCACGTCCCATGTCCACGTCCACGTCCACGTCCACGTCCATGACCACGTCCACGTCCACGTCCACGTCCATGTCCACGGTCCACGTCCACGTCCATGTCCACGTCCACGTCCACGACCAACGTCCACGTCCACGTCCACGTCCACGGGTCCACGTCCACGTCCACGTCCACGTCCACGTCCACGTGTCCACGTCCACGTCCACGTCCACGTCCACGTCCACGTCATGTCCACGTCCATGTCCACGTCCACGTCCATGTCCACGTCCACGTCCACGTCCACCTCCACGTCCACGTCCATGTCCACGTCCATGTCCACGTCCACGTCCACGTCCACGTCCATGTCCACGTCGACGTCCACGTCCACGTCCACGTCCTCGTCCACGTCCAAGTCCATGTCCACGTCCACGTCCACGTCCACGTCCACGTCCACGTTCACGTCCATGTCCACGTCCACGTCCACGTCCACGTCCATGTCACGTCCACGTCCACGTCCACGTCCACGTCCACGTCCACGTCCACGTCCACGTCCATGTCCACGTCCACGTCCACGTCCACGTCCACGTGCACGTCCACGTCCACGTCCACGTCTACGTCCACGTCCACGTCCATGTCCATGTCTACGTCCACGTCCACGTCCATGTCCATGTCCATGGTCCACGTCCACGTCCATGTCCACGTCCACGTCCACGTCCACGTCCATGTCCACCTCCACGTCCACCTCCATGTCCACGTCCAAGTCCACGTCCACGTCCATGTCCAAGTCCATGTCCACGTCCATGTCCACGTCCATGTCCACGTCCACGTCCACGTCCACGTCCACGTTTACGACCATGTCCACGTCCATGTCCACGTCCACGTCCACGTCCATGTCCATGTCCACGTCCTTGTCCACGTCCATGTCCACGTCCACGTCCACGTCCATGTCCACGTCCATGTCCACCTCCACGTCCACGTCCACGTCCATGTCCACGTCCAAGTCCACGTCCATGTCCACGTCCACGTCCACGTCCACGTCCATGTCCACGTCCACGTCCACGTCCATGTCCACGTCCACGTCCATGTCCACGTCCACGTCCACGTCCACGACCATGTCCACGTCCACGTCCACGTCCACGTCCATGTCCACGTCCACGTCCACGTCCATGTCCACGTCCACGTCCACGTCCACGACCATGTCCACGTCCACGTCCACGTCCACGTCCACGTCCATGTCCACGTCCATCTGGTTCACGTCCATGTCCATGTCCACGTCCATGTCCACGTCCACGTCCATGTCCACGTCCATGTCCATGTCCACGTCCACGTCCATGTCCACGTCCACGTCCACGTCCTCGTCCACGTCTACGTCCACGTCCACGTCCAGGTCCACGTCCATGTCAACGTCCACGTCCAGGTCCACGTCCACGTCCACGTCCACGTCGAGGTCCACGTCCACGTCCACGTCCACGTCCACGTCCACGTCTACGTCCATGTCCACGTCCATGTCCACGTCCACGTCCATGTCCACGTCCACGTCCACGTCCATGTCCACGTCCAAGTCCTCCACGTCCACATCCACGTCCACGTCCTCCACGTCCACGTCCACGTCCACGTCCTCCAAGTCCACGTCCACGTCCATGTCCACGTCCACGTCCACGTCCAAGTCCACGTCCATGTCCACGTCCACGTCCATGTCCACGTCCATGTCCGCGTCCATGTCCACGTCCACGTCCACGTCCACGTCCATGTCCACGTCCACGTCCACGTCCACGTCCATGTCCACGTCCATGTCCACGTCCACGTCCACGTCCACGTCCACGTTTTCGTCCACGTCCACGTCCATGTCCACGTCCACGTCCACGTCCACGTCCATGTCCACGTCCACGTCCACGTCCACGTCCACGTCCATGTCCACGTCCACGTCCATGTCCATGTCCACGTCCACGTCCACGACCATGTCCACGTCCACGTCCACGTCCACGTCCATGTCCACGTCCATCTGGTCCACGTCCATGTCCATGTCCACGTCCATGTCCACGTCCACGTCCACGTCCATGTCCATGTCCACGTCCACGTCCATGTCCACGTCCATGTCAACGTCCAGGTCCAGGTCCACGTCCACGTCACCTCCACGTCCATGTCCACGTCCAAGTCTATGTCCATGTCCACGTCCACGTCCAACGTCCACGTCCACGTCCACGTCCATGTCCACGTCCACGTCCAGGTCCACGTCCACGTCTACGTCCACGTCCACGTCGAGGTCCACGTCCACGTCCACATCCACGTCCACGTCCACGTCCTCCACGTCCACGTCCACGTCCACGTCCACGTCCACGTCCACGTCCACGTCCACGTCCATGTCCACGTCCACGTCCACGTCCATGTCCACGTCCACGTCCATGTCCCCGTCCACGTCCACGTCCACGTCCATGTCCACGTCCATGTCCACGTCCATGTCCACGTCCACGTCCACGTCCACGTCCACGTCCTCGTCCACGTCCACGTCCATGTCCATGTCCACGTCCATGTCCACGTTCACGTCCACGTCCATGTCCACGTCCACGTCCATGTCCACGTCCACGTCCACGTCCACGTCCACGTCCTCGTCCATGTCCACGTCCACGTCCACGTCCACGTCCACGTCCATGACCTCGTCCACGTCTACGTCCACGTCCATGTCCATGTCTACGTCCATGTCCACGTCCTCGCCACGTCCAGGTCCACGTCCACGTCCACGTCCACGTCCACGTCCATGACCTCGTCCACGTCCACGTCCACGTCCATGTCCATGTCCACGTCCACGTCCACGTCCACGTCCACGTCCATGACCACGTCCACGTCCACGTCCACGTCCACGTCCATGTCCACGGCCATGTCCACGTCCACGTCCACGTCCACGTCCACTTCCACGTCCACGTCCACGTCCTCGTCCACACGTCCATGTCCATGTCCATGTCCATGTCCACGTTCACGTCCACGTCCATGTCCACGTCCACGTCCATGTCCACGTCCATGTCCACGTCCACGTCTATGTCCACGTCCACGTCCACGTCCATGTCCACGTCCACGTCCACGTCCACGTCCACGTCCATGACCTCGTCCACGTCCACGTCCACGTCCATGTCCACGTCCACGTCCACATCCACGTCCACGTCCAGGTCCACGTCCACATCCACGTCCAGGTCCACGTCCACGTCCACGTCCACGTCCACGTCGAGGTCCACGTCCACGGTCCACGTCCACGTCCACGTCCACGTCCTACGTCCATGTCCACCGTCCATGTCCACGTCCACGTCCATGTCCACGTCCACGTCACGTCCATGTCCACGTCCAAGTCCTCCACGTCCACATCCACGTCCACGTCCTCCACGTCCACGTCCACGTCCACGTCCTCCAAGTCCACGTCCACGTCCATGTCCACGTCCACGTCCACGTCCAAGTCCACGTCCATGTCCACGTCCACGTCCATGTCCACGTCCATGTCCGCGTCCATGTCCACGTCCACGTCCACGTCCACGTCCATGTCCACGTCCACGTCCACGTCCACGTCCATGTCCACGTCCATGTCCACGTCCACGTCCACGTCCACGTCCACGTCCTCGTCTACGTCCACGTCCATGTCCACGTCCACGTCCACGTCCACGTCCATGTCCACGTCCACGTCCACGTCCACGTCCACGTCCATGTCCACGTCCACGTCCATGGTCCATGTCCACGTCCACGTCCACGACCATGTCCACGTCCACGTCCACGTCCACGTCCATGTCCACGTCCATCTGGTCCACGTCCATGTCCATGTCCACGTCCATGTCCACGTCCACGTCCACGTCCATGTCCATGTCCACGTCCACGTCCATGTCCACGTCCATGTCAACGTCCAGGTCCAGGTCCACGTCCACGTCCACCTCCACGTCCATGTCCACGTCCAAGTCTATGTCCATGTCCACGTCCACGTCCACGTCCACGTCCACGTCCATGTCCACGTCCACGTCCACGTCCACGTCCACGTCTACGTCCACGTCCACGTCGAGGTCCACGTCCACGTCCACATCCACGTCCACGTCCACGTCCACGTCCTCCACGTCCACGTCCCCGTCCACGTCCCACGTCCACGTCCACGTCCACGTCCATGTCCACGTCCACGTCCACGTCCATGTCCACGTCGACGTCCCGTCCATGTCCCCGTCAGTCCACGTCCACGTCCACGTCCACGTCCATGTCCACGTCCATGTCCACGTCCCATGTCCACGTCCACGTCCACGTCCACGTCCTCGTCCACGTCCACGTCCATGTCCATGTCCACGTCCATGTCCACGTTCACGTCCACGTCCATGTCCACCGTCCACGTCCATGTCCACGTCCACGTCCACGTCCACGTCCACGTCCTCGTCCATGTCCACGTCCACGTCCACGTCCACGTCCACGTCCATGACCTCGTCCACGTCTACGTCCACGTCCATGTCTACGTCCATGTCCACGTCCTCGCCACGTCCAGGTCCACGTCCACGTCCACGTCCACGTCCACGTCCATGACCCTCGTCCACGTCCACGTCCACGTCCATGTTCCATGTCCACGTCCACTGTCCACGTCCACGTCCACGTCCTATGACCACGTCCACGTCCACGTCCACGTCCACGTCCATGTCCAACGGCCATGTCCACGTCCACGTCCACGTCCACGTCCACTTCCACGTCCACGTCCACGTCCTCGTCCACACGTCCATGTCCATGTCCATGTCCATGTCCACGTTCACGTCCACGTCCATGTCCACGTCCACGTCCATGTCCACGTCCATGTCCACGTCCACGTCATGTCCACGTCCACGTCCACGTCCTGTCCACGTCCACGTCCACGTCCACGTCCACGTCCATGACCTCGTCCACGTCCACGTCCACGTCCATGTCCACGTCCACGTCCACATCCACGTCCACGTCCAGGTCCAGTCCACATCCACGTCCAGGTCCACGTCCACGTCCACGTCCACGTCGAGGTCCACGTCCACGTCCACGTCCATGTCCACGTCCACGTCCACGTCACGTCCACGTTCCACGTCCATGTCCACGTCCATGTCCACGTCCACGTCCACGTCCAGGTCCACGTCCACGTCCACGTCCACGTCCACGTCCACGTCCATGTCCTCGTCCACGTCCACGTCCATGTCCATGTCCACGTCCACGTCCACGTCCACGTCCATGACCACGTCCACGTCCACGTCCACGTCCACGTCCATGTCCACGTCCATGTCCACGTCCACGTCCACGTCCACGTCCACGTCCACTTCCACGTCCACGTCCACGTCCCGTCCACACGTCCATGTCCAGTCCATGTCCATGTCCACGTCCACGTCCACGTCCATGTCCACGTCCACGTCCATGTCCACGTCCATGTCCACGTCCACGTCCATGTCCACGTCCACGTCCACGTCCGTCCACGTCACGTCCACGTCCACGTCCACGTCCATGACCGTCCACGTCCACGTCCACGTCCATGTCCACGTCCACGTCCACGTCCACGTCCAGGTCCACGTCCACATCCACGTCCAGGTCCACGTCCAGTCCACGTCCACGTCGAGGTCCACGTCCACGTCCACGTCCACGTCCATGTCCACGTCCATGTCCACGTCCACGTCCATGTCCACGTCCACGTCCACGTCCATGTCCACGTCCAAGTCCGTCCACGTCCACGTCCACGTCCTCCACGTCCACGTCCATCCACGTCCACGTCCTCCACGTCCACGTCCACGTCCACGTCCACGTCCACGTCCACGTCCACGTCCACGTCCATGTCCACGCACAGTCCACGTCCATGTCCACGTCCACGTCCATGTCACGTCCACGTCCACGGTCCACGTCCACGTCCACGTCCACGTCCATGTCCACGTCCACGTCCACGTCCACGTCCATGTCCACGTCCACGTCCACGTCCACGTCCATGTCCACGTCCAGGTCCACGTCCACGTCCACGTCCACGTCCTCGTCCACGTCCACGTCCATGTCCACGTCCACGTCCACGTCCACGTCCACGTCCACGTCCACGTCCACGTCCACGTCCACGTCCACGTCCATGTCCACGTCCACGTCCACGTCCATGTCCACGTCTACGGTCCACGTCCACGACCATGTCCACGTCCACGTCCACGTCCACGTCCATGTCCACGTCCATCTGGTCCACGTCCATGTCCATGTCCACGTCCATGTCCACGTCCACGTCCA